GTGGGTGTGCGTATGTGTGTGTATTGTTTTGTGTGTATGTACGTGTGTGTGTGTGTGTGTGTGTGTGTGTGTGTGTGTGTGTTTGTACATTATATATTGTTGTCCTGTCTGTTCGAGCAGCATCGTTATGGGTTGCAACACAACAATTTTAAGGCCTGTTCTGGCAGAAAAGATCAACGTAATGACTTTTTTGTTTAAAGCGTGGGCCCGAATGGAAAGTCGTTGATAGCAGCCTGGAAAAAATCATAACTCTCGTAGAGGTCGTGTCAAACCTCGTGTATTACCAACCCTCTCTGGTTTTTACATCAGTTACGACGAAGCAAAGGCCAATAATTTATGTATATAAAAATTCAAACCATCGTGATGATATAATGTAAGCAACGGCTTGATTTGTCCTCCAGTGAATTGTGGCACGCACCATTTCATGGTTTAAAAAAAAAAAAGAAACCAAAAAAAGAAAGAAAAATGTCGGTTGAATGCCAGAAAAGAGACGAGGTCATAATTTCCTTGCGTCAAGAGTGACATTTTATGGTCTGTCTCGGTCCCCATAACAGAAGTAGAAAGAGAGAGAGAGAGAGAGAGAGAGAGAGAGAGAGAAAGAGAGAAAGAGAGAGAGAGAGAGAGAGAGGGGGGGGGTGGGGGTGAACTGTAAAGGTGCAGTGAATATTTTAAAACGGTTATTTCCGTCATTTTAGTATGTGTAATAATAGGCAAAAGAAGCTGTGCCTCGGCAGACTGTTATGGCACGGTTCTAAGACAGGAAAAAAGCAGCGAAACAAAAGATAAAAGACTGAAAGAAAATCGAAACATACACATTATCATGCTTATAATATACTCATACATTTGGCATATCAACCTGCTTTCTCGTGCGTAGTAGATCTATTTACCCCATGCCGCTCTTTTTTTAACCAACCGGGCCTCGTTGTGATCGTTTTTATATAGTGTAGTATATCTATTATAATTTAATTAGATTTAATTTATGTTATTTCATTAACATAACCTTTTAGGGCGGGGTGGGGTGGGGGTTCTTTTACAGCTTTGAAACTCATACTTAAAAACTAAGACGACAGAAAGATGACATAATATTTGCTACTGCGACATGGCTCTCTCTGTCAATCTGTCTGCCTCCCCATCCCCTCGCCCCCCTCCCCCAATTCCCACCCTCATTTCCCACCCCTCTCTGTGTCGTGAGTCCTGAGGGCTCACAGCTGCAGTGGCTCAGTGTCCTCCTGTCTGTCTGTCGGTCGGTCTGTGTTTTCAAGTTTTGGCAGCGCGACTCGTGTGTGTGCGTGTGCCTGTTGTGTGGTGGAGTCAAGTCAGTCCGTGGACATCTTACACTGGTCAGGCCAGGCCAGGCCAGGCAGTTTGTGAGCCCTGTCAACAGGCTGTGCCACGTGTGTGTTGAGCCGAAACTAACACGGAGTAGCATGCGTGAAGAGACACACCAACTGGTCGATATTAATACTGTATTATGGTCTTATTTACTATGTGCGGACCGTAGGTTTGTTCATGTTGTGCAGCGCGTGGTTTGCCCTTATTTACAGGCATGCAGTAGTTCGGCGGAACGGTCGGTTTCAGTTCGTAATGATGTTATGGAATGGACTTGTAATAATATTGTTATGTTGTGTTTCGGGATTAATTGGTCGCTTTTAAGGACAAGCGGGCTAACCTAGATTTCGGGGGTTTCCAGAAATCTTGACCTACACCAAAAGTGGGCATTGCCCAACCTAGACTATAGGAGAAGTTTGATTTCATTGATGTGTATATTTGTTTGGTTACAGAGAAAACTCTCATTGTCTTTTACAGAAACTGAACAAGAGACAAAAACTTTACCTTCGATTTTCTCTATACAGCATTTTTCGAGATAGCCCCCTTGTGCTTAAAAGCGACCAATTGTGAAGCGTAATATTGTTATTTTGTGTTACGGGATTAATTGTGAAGCCGTCAAAGTGCAGGAAAGAAATTACGTACCCTTTTTGTAGAAAGTTCACGGTATGTGAGAACGTGTATTACCCGTTTGTGTCGATGGAGTGGTAGGCTAATAATATTATTAATTTTCGAACGTGACATACGCAGGTCGTGCGTTCTGTTCATTCCAAAGGAGTACGTATACCTGAAGTTATAGGCCTAGAATCTATAGGGTCGCGTATTGTGTTTCCTACTTGAACAGTTATGTATGTATTTGCTTAGATATGTCGTCCTATGATGACTCACATTCATGTACGGCTACGTGCGGGGCGCTGTCCTTGGCCGATATGGTGAAGGTGGATTCTGTCATTGTCCTCAATGTTTAGGGGATGTGGTGCCTTATTTTATTCATTTATCTTTTTATCTTTGAGAGGGGGGGGGGGCGTATCTCTTCCTTCGCATCTAGATCTAGTCATGGGATGTACATTTATACCC